ATCTTACTGTTAAATAAAGTTTCATTTCGACGTTTCGAGAATAGAATTTCTCATTTTGAAGAATAACACAATATTCGACGGAGAGAGAGAAATGTTTAACGTAACTGAAAATTCAGAAATATGACTTTGAAAACATGTGTAAGATCAAACATAGAGAATCATGGTGAGAATTATTTCTTTTCGACTGGTAAAAATAAGTGTAATAGAGATAAAAATACCTACACGACGTATACATGTAGAATGTACAATTTTGACAAAAAGATGAATACTCTATCCTCCTGGATGTGTTATCAATGTTTCTGAAATGCCCTCAGGAAACAAAAATAGACGAACAAATTGTGCAGTGCTCTTCAACGTTGGTTTATGACTCCTTAATAAGAGTCCCTACATCTTATATTAAGGGACCCTTGTATTAGTAATCGATTAGGGTTACTGTCCTTTAACAATACTTTGAACCCGTTCCAGTTAATTTCATGTTCTGTGGCAAGATGTTTGGAAAGAGCAGATTTTCTTTCTGTAGTAGTGAGAGACGAAGAATCAGAACCGTCATTACAAGAGTGAAGGAAGAGAAGCAGATATTTTTCCAGTTTGATTGGCTATCCGTGAAGAGTATTGGATATCGTTTGATCTTACAGTGTGATTCTCGTTTTAGTTCTAAAGTTTCGAGTTGGTCTCTTCACACTTTGGTATGTGTTAACGAGTGAGAAACTAGCTTTCAGACAACAATTTGGTACGCGATCTTCCATTAGTCTCCGACAAACTTGTCTCGCCATTTTAGCCCATATACGAACTATTACACCCGTTACATCTCACAGGCAATACTAAATCTGATTGAAGCGAACTATGATTGTTGTCTTTTTATTGAGAAAACGAACCAATCGTTTTTGGTAGTCTGGAAATTATATTTAAATCTAATTCTATTTTAGTAAAATGTGATAGTTTTTTACCGAGATCTTGTGAAGAATTTTTGACAAAAGTCCACTATTCGCTATTTTTTTCTTGCGTCATAACTATTTACCATACTGTTAGAACCAGAAAATAACATTTTTGAAGTTACAGTTAATGAACAAAACACTATGTCTAAAACTAACTGCTCTGTTAATCAGTTTTTTTCTGAAACTGTCAGTTTTTGGTAAGAAATCCTATACTATATTTCATTTTTCACTAGTAAGAGATCAATCGTACTTTTTGCTGTGAAAAGTATATTGGGCATCCGAAGAAGTCGAAATTACCTTAAACGAACAGATGTAATATCTCCTTATCGAATGTAAAAAAAACAATTTAGTGACATGATGCCGTTCAATTAAATTAACTCAAACATTTTCTGTCGGCATCGAATTAACGGGTACTTAAGTCGATTAGTACTTAATCGGTAGAAGAAATGAATTATTCACATTACCCGATTATGTACAGCTGTTTCGATATTGTATAACTTCTTATGTTCATTATAGCTAGCCTATCTAACATCGAATTTGAACGATTCTCACTCTTTATGTCAACAGAAAAAGAGAGAGAGAGAGAGAGAGAGAGAGAGAGAGAGAGAGAGAGAGAGAGAGAGTAGAAAAAAGAAAAAGAAAGAAAAACGAGTTTATATTCGGTTGTCAAATAAATGTAGAGAAGCCATAATACAGACTAAAATATATTTATCGTCCACTTGTTCTAGGTAGGTAGAATAAGTTTTATAGTAGGAGTTGCGTAAGCTGCTTTGATCTGCTGATTTCCTTTTTTCTTCTTTGTGATACAACAATTAGTATATTGTTTGTGAAACAATTACATAGCAACAACAATTTTACATAAATTTTATTAAACGTCAATAAAAATGCAATATAACAATAGGAAAATGAATTTGATGACCGAACCATAGTGCGGAAACGAGAATATTAGTCGTTCTACTATAGTTGGATAGTTAATTAGAAATCAAATTTTTTACTGAGTATGGCAAAAAAGGACGCAGAAAGATCGGTGTTTAACATTTTCCCCCTCGAGTATGAATTGTCAGGATTGTCTCACTGTTGAATCATTCGTGTTCTTTTAACCGAACAGTTCGAACCATCAAGCTTCTGTATTATCCCCTATGAATGACACGTTATGCGTCGGATCGCAGCTGGGTTAACCAATTGTCTGTTCTGCAGTAGCTCTCAGATATCACGGATTATTAATTACTGTTTTCTGAGCTTGAAAAGTATACAGACCATACTGGATCATGAACATCAGATATATTATTTCTGTTTTCATGCTGCTTTTGCCTAATTTTCACGGCAAGAAAGAAAAACTTAATGTGCATCTTTAAAGTAGAAAAGATTCTAGAGAAAAAAAAGAGACAGATCGATAGATTCTCCGCACTACAGTATGCTGGTGGAGTAGAAGATTGCAGAAAGCAAAGTTGCTGAAGAAAATGTTTTTCATTTTGGTTATGAGGTTCTACTGTGATAATAACAGATCATTTCAAATTTGAGCATAGTTAATTTACACTTGCGATGTGTATTGGAAAGTAATCAATTCTCACCAAAAATAAATGGGTGATGCAATCGGTAGCGGCATAATATTATAAGATTGATATGATCTCAGATATGATAATGACACTTAAGATACTACTAATAATACAAAGAGAAGGAAAAAAATTTCTTCTCTGGTGTCCTTTTTGTATCAACGTCGTGCGATATGTATCACACAGACGCAATCGATCGAATGAAGGAACAGATAATTGATCGTATTGACTAAGAATCATTTTATTATTTTGTTCTGATATAGCACAATATTGATAACTACGCAGCCAAGTGGATTATGCAAGGACTTCAGAGTGAGAAATCGTTTCGTCTCTCCTGACAACACTTTTTAGTATTTTATCTCAATTTTGAGTATTGTACCGTGGGCGGTTTACCATAAACGAAATTCTAAAAAGTTTATACCATTTTCAATAAATAGCGAACTAAGTTTAATTATTTGTCATTTTGTATAGTGCGGTTATGAATTCATCAAGGTTTTTACGGAAAAGTTCATTGTTCTGACAGATAATTTCTTTTGTCATGTTAGTACTGAGTTTTTCATCATGTATATGAATTTATGTGTTACATAATCAAGAGATCACTTTGATTTTCTGACATCATTTGTTTGATGAATTACACATACGAAAGAAAGAAGTATATAAAACTAATTGATACGGAAGGCTAAGAGAATAGGAGAGAAGAGAATAATTGACCTTCACTCATTTTTCACTTCACCACCCCAACTCCGATGTGTACGTGAATGAAGAGTTTTTTCATTCAAATTGTGCAGTACAGAATAGAAAAATGTCGTAATGCGATAATGATCCCCTCCACTTCTTATTTTTGCCACTACTTGATGTGTGTGGTCATTTTCATTTTTTCAACAATAAATACCATTAGAGAGAACAAAAAAAGGAAAATAATAAATTCAAATTACATGTGATGGGATTTATGTATATATATATATATATATATGAGAGAGAATATAGATTGTATTTACTACCCAATTTTCTTTTTTGACACGTAATTTAGAGGTTAGCTTAAACTTTTTTTTTTTGCAAACAGAACTGTCTTAAGAACTCTTATCTCGCGTTTTTTTTTCTTCATAGGACTAAGGAAATAAAATAGGAAAGGAAACCACTTTTTGTCACAACTTTCTTTCTCTTTCCTTCATTTCGTTCATTCACAGTCTATAGTATATATGGATTCCAATTAAAATAGAAGAATAGATGACTCTTAAGAAAAGACACACCTGTCGTGTAAAAATAGAAAATACACTATTTGCTCGTTTTCACTTCTTCTATACATCTGCTTAGGTTATCTGTGTTTTTAGTATAACTATCAACTGGAAGTAATGATGAGTATACAGTTACAGGTAAATTAAAGAGATTATCTGAATCCGCAATATTATTGAGTAAGACTGGAAAGATGGTTGGCCAAATTTTTATTAGAAATATCTGCAAGGATATTCAAATCGCAGAGAACGGAGTGATACTGAGTTAGCATTGCTGCTACTTTCTACACTGGCATGTAAATGGTGCTCAATTCAGTGATTTTGACGTTATTTTCATAAAATAGAAAGTGAATTACATTTTATGGTATGATTCTCACAAAAAGAAAAGAAAACTACCTTCACAGTAAGCTCCCACCTGTATTTGTGCTTTTCTCCCTTTTTTTTTGAGTACACCCTTTGTAAAGTTTAACGTTTTAATCGAGTTCTAAAGAGGCTTCAGTAGGAATTAAAAATGTAACAGTAAAAGCCATAAAAGTATTTGATATGTATGCTAATAATATGGCGTGCATCTCTCTTTGTTAACTATTGATCGTCCATTCACATAATAGAATGGAAGATTTAGTTTATTGAACACTATGTGATCATTGAAGGGAATCTGACATTACAGAGAATAGTAGCATCTGTACGTCAGACACATTCACAATACCGAAAAGATGGCTTTTTTTTTGTTTTATCTTTTTTTTATTGTTTCTTTTCTCTCTATGAACATTATCAATGGGTGATATATATATGATTATTGACATCTAAAAATATGACAGAATATGTCTGTTGTGTAAATGAGAGTTTATGCATTTTCTTTCGTTCTTCTGTTTCACAATCGGAAGTTTGATGAGTAATATGATGCTTCATCTATCTCTAGGCGCGTATATAATAGTCTATATAAATGTTTCCTCAACTTATGGCTGCGAGAGAGAATATGATAAAAAGAGCTCAAAAATCATCATCTCTCATAAGAGAAAATAAAAAAAAACGCTGTTGAGTTACCGTTTTTCTTTCTTTTCTTTAGATTTTTGATAGTTCTTCTAAACGAGAAAGAATATAAATATTTTTTTCTTCATATGGCATCAGTAACGAATATTTAGTAGAGATTACGTGTCTCGATCATCATAATTGTAAAAGTAAAAAACTGTCAAATATCCCAGTTGTTGTAAGTATTTTTGTTGTTGTTACATATTCTCACATAAAGATTTTATTTTTTTTCTCCTTTCAGAATCATACTCATGATTTCTGATCTAAATTTAATTGTTACATTTTTTCTATATTTAATACAATCAAGTAGACAAACAAAAGAAGGTAAATTGTTCATTTTCATTTATTTTATCTATAAAATATCTTCGTTGTTTGTTTTAGTTGTCCTTTTGGATACAAGGGAAGCAAGAGATTATTTAAATTGGGAAAAAAAGACAAATGATGCCGATGATGATACTAGTCCAAACCGTGGAGTAAGTCTTATTTATTTTTATCCATGATAATATCTCATCATTTTGATATTTTCTTTTTATAGTGGAGTGAAATGAGTTGGAATGCTGGCATGTTTCGTTTACTATTATCATCGCCACCTCAAATATTCAGTCATCAATCAACATTATCACCATCGACTGTATGGCGAACACAATATGTTTGTGATATAACATCGGATAGAAAAGTTGACAATTGGTTACGTACGCCATTATTTAAACGTGAACAAGCAAAACGAATTGAAATTGAACTAGGATTCTCGGTACGCGATTGTTCATCTTTCAGTAATCCAGATGAAATTCGATCATGTCGTGAAACATTTGAATTATATATCTATGAGACAGATGAGAATAGTAATGATTGGAATGTACAATCGTATAAATTAATTGATATTATAGCTGGTAATCGTTTTACATCGAGTAATGGTGACTCGTCGTTATCTGGTATGAATAATAATAATGATCCTAAAGATGTTGTCAATGTTAAAAGTCGTGGTATAGCGATTAATAAAAAAAATTTTTATATTGCGTTTCGTGATCAAGGCGCGTGTATATCGTTATTATATGTTAAAATATATTATCGTTTATGTGAAGAAAAAATTATATCACTCGTCCGATTTCCTGAAACGGCTACCGGTGCTCATTTAACCGATATTGAGCAACGAGATGGACTATGCATTGATAATACCCAAATGGTCTATAAGCCAATTGGAATGTGTAAAGGAAATGGTAAGACCTTTTGATTGTTTTTCTATCCAAGAAAACGTATTTTTTTCTGACGCTTTATACCATTTGTCCTCCCTCTTTGATTTATTGATCCAATGGAGAAAGTTGTATAAGAACTACCCGGTAAATATCAACCAACTTATATTCATAAGAATAACAAAGGAATCAAAAATGATTCATACATTTATTCTCTATATCACGTATAAAAAATGCTGCTAATTATTTATCATAATTATGAGTTATTCTCTTTGCAATAGAAGAAATGTTGAACTATGAGAAATATTCGCTCGATTAAATATACACTATCAGATTTTCTTGTATTGTTGTTATTCTAATTTTGTGTTCTGTTTATATTGAACTTTTCTCTTTTCTTTCGTCTTAGGTGAATGGACATTTCAAGAAGCTTCATTGCGTGAAAGTTGTCTTTGCCGAGATGGTTATGAATTCGACCGTATTAGTGGTGAATGTAAGGGTATGTACCAATGAATGAAATAAAAAGCAATTACAAACTACTTATGTGTGTGCGTGTGTATGTATCTATTATATAATAATCACAAAAATTAGCATTATTAATCCCAAAGAATATGAGAAGATCAAATTGATTGAGAGAAATATAAAAATTGTTTATTTCGTCTCATCCAAACATAATTCATAACATATGTATAAAAAGTAAAAATAACATTTATCTATACATAATAAAAAAATACGAAAATAAACAAGACTACTGTAAAAAGGTTTTTCTGGTTTTTAATTAACACAAAAAAGATAACAAAGTTTTGACACACGAAAAACACAATAATATTTGAAAAATACAGAAATATAATCCTTACATCGTATTTCATTGATTTCTTTGCATGCACGACGTATTTTCTGGATTGAATTGTCTAAAGTATGGTCGTAGGAAAAGATTAGATTAGAACACTTTAATACTCTATTGGCAGATTCTAGTACTGAAACTATTTTTTTCTCTCTGTTTTTGATCTTAGTTTGAATATTTGTTTGAACTGCAAAAGGATTGTTATTGCCTTTCCAACGAGTGTGTACTGTCACTGTTGACATCTGTATACATCCAATTAGTAGAGTATGATAATCGTGTTCTCTGAATGATACTTTCTAAATTAAAACGAAGCTTTCATTCACTTTATAATAGATGCCTATTTCATTCTCTTTTGAAACATTGTCAAAATCACACATCGAAGACTCCCTGGCGAGTAAATTTATACGTATAAAGTTTAGCCTTATAATACTATTGTTCAATGAACTTTTGTTGTTTTATTCTCTATCTCTCCTGTAATTAACTTTTCAGAATATGAAAACCATTTCACCTGCTCTATGTCTATACTTTCTTCCTTTAGTATAAAATCACATACATTTTTCTCTTTCCTTTTTCTTTCCCCTTCGATATTTTATGTTGATGAAATCAGACTATACAACACAGTGATTTACGGATGAGAATTTTTTTCCTTAATTGTACATGTTATACAGTAGTCGTTCATATACAATGACTTAAAAGAGGTCGATACACGCGATCAAGAAAAAAAGGGTTACCCACGGTCAATCATAATGTAGCTAATAGATATTCTATGAACCATAATATACACATTTTATGACAGAATATTATCAAATATCTATCTAACCTCATTTAATATTAAACTAGAGTTCAATTATACTGCGTGTAGATTAGAAAATCGACTAAGTGGAACACCAGAGAAAACACAATCAGAGAAAATTAGAGCACTTGTATTTCTTTTGCACAGACTTTACACCATATTCGTATTTCATACAGAGTATAGAAAATGACATATAATATTAATAGTTAGCGATTATCTCTCAAAGAATAATAATTCTACTAGTGTGTTTATGATGTGTAACGTACGCACTGATGAGTCGAGTATTAGATGAATATTAGAACCTAGAAAAAGACTTTTGTAAAATAGATGTTGAAGATGTTAATAATCTCTTGTTCAAATCTCTTCGATGACGGACGGAAGAAAACAAGTGTCTCATTCAAGCAATGAAGTATAGTGCGGAAAAAAATTTGTGATGAAGAGCAGTCAATTTTCTGTAATTTAACTCAATCGATGACTTAACGACATAATTCATAATATTCTGCAAATACGTTCTGAAATTTAAAATCATTTAGTGACTTTTGTTCAATGCCCAACTTAATCATGATAATTACCACCGTTGATAAAGAAGAGAAGAAACTAGTGCTGATCAGCATCCTAAAAATATTATTCAGTGTTAATTATTGTGCATACAGTTATTACTGGAATAAAAACCAAATAAAAATAATTCAAACATGTAATAACAGTAAAGAATATGTGGCAAAAGAGATATACGAGTTTTGAATGAACAATAAACTTTTAACTATATTTTTTAATGTCGGAAATGCATACTTGAGATATACGTTAACTTTGTTCAAGTGCTTGAAACAAAAAAACTAGATAACAAAGCAACATTGGCATTCTCTCTACTCCACTTACGAATAAATGATACTCATAGTTGTCATATCAGTAATCTAATCTAATTGTATTCGCTTTTAATTGATAGAGAGACAAGAAGAGTTTATTAAGTTAAGGTAATTGGATGAAAACGAATAATTGTATGTTAAAATACTGCACTTGTACTTCATAGAAACAATTAACTTTCATTAATTCTTCGTATGTGCAGGTGTAGATTGAGATTGTGATAGCATTGACTAGTACCTCAAATTATTTTAGAGTATAATTAATTAGTCAACATTCTCATTTTTCTATTTAGCTTGTGCAATTGGAAAATTCAAAAATTCTCTTGGTAATGAAATGTGTTATGAATGTCCTTTAAATAGTCATACAATCAACAACGGTTCATCATATTGTAATTGTGACGAAGGTTTCTTCCGTATAAACGCCTCGTTATTCACTTCACCATGCATAGGTCTGTCGTTATATTTATGTAATATAATGGTAAGTTTAATTCCTATATCTCTTTATTTTAGGTTCTCCAACTGAGCCACAAAATTTGACTGTCGAAGAAATTGATCAAGCATCAGTGAAAATAAGTTGGAAACGAACTGCTGTTGATCTATCACATATTGTTTATCGTATCGAATGTAATCGTATTATCGATGGCCATTCAACACCATGTGAATCTTACATCAACTATTATCCAAATCGAACATTTTTAAATGGAACGAATGTTTGGCTGACGGGATTAGATCCTGATACAAGTTATCATATTGAAGTATTTTCTGAGCAATGGTCAACACGTTTAACAAGTAAAGCGGTCGATGTTTCATTTACAACGAAACGATCAAGTAAATTTAATTCTAATGGAGTACAATACAAAGTAAATGTTTTAATTATTTATTTTAGTTCCAAAAATTATTCGAGACATTGCTGTTTATCGTTTGAATTTGAACACAATATTACTAACATGGGCTAAAAATGATTTTGATTTCTATGAATTACGTTATTGGACTAACAGTGATATTAATAATAATGAAAAAATACTTATTACTTGTAAAGACAATAATTTTACATTAACAACAACATTATTAAATACTAACTATACATTTCAAATAAGAGGACGAGCACGCAACGGATGGGGACCCTATACACATCCAAAAACTATTACAATTGAATCCATCGATGCTCTAACATCGTCACAAACAGCATTATCGGCAGCTGCCTCACGATTTGTTGAAAATAAAAATGTAATGGTCGGCGGACCAATTATTATTCTACTTCTTTTGGTTGTTGTCATTATGCTTGGTATTATTTATACAAGAAGGTATGTTTATTATGAAAAAAAATTTGTTCTACAGTCAAAATTATTGCGAATAGTACACCTGCTTTTTAAAATTTTTGATTTGTTCTATTAAACAACAAAAAGTCTTAAAAACTTCGTGCTTTGCTTTTTAAATCTTGCATTTCTGAAATAATAAATAGTCTATATTTGTTAATTTCTTTTTCTTTTCAAGGCGATCTTGTCGATTGAAAACTGCTAGTGATTGTGAATCATTAGATTACCAAAAACGACAAGGTAAAACTGAAATTTTATTTGAGATATATGTACATAATGTGATTTTAAAGAAAAAATGATGTTAGTCTGTTGTTTTCTTGTCATATTATATACTGATAAAGAATGCGGTGATGCTTCTGTTTGGTAGAAAATATTTGAAAATAATATGTATATTTTATTATATTTATTATTGTGTGTTATATAGGCTATCGGCAAATGATACGCTATACAAGTAATCCTGCGAGTAAATCGAATTCTACAAAAAATGTTACCGAATGTAAATGATGATAGTTTATGCTTCAGAATATATACTATCACACTAAATATTGACATCTATTCTTCTATTAAAAAACAAAGAAAAGTTGCTTATGTCATATTTATTCACTATTGTGTATGATCTTTACAGTCACCATGCTTTTCACAAATAGATTTCAGTTCAGCCATTTTTTTTGCGGCTTAATTAAAAACAAAAAGAATCAGAAATAGAATAATGCATGTACCGTTTCTTTTAACGATACAGTCGAATATTGCATGGGACGCTTTCCATAACTTAATAGCTTTCGATAATCTAGTGGTTTGGTCAACAATTGCTCATTATAATCATTTTTTTTTTTTTTTATTAATTTTATTCAACCGTTAATTTGGAAAAATACAATAGATAATCTAGTGTCTACTTTATTGCTTTTTTGTTAAAAATAATTTGCTTTTCTTCTTTGCTTTCGCTCTATCATCAACTTAATTGGTGTTGAAATATTCTTATAATAATTAATCTTTCAATCAATATCCTTCATCTTTATTTTGCTTCGCTTTTTAGTGAGTGGCCACTATGGACCTGATGCCTTTTTCAATTCTGGCTGTAAGTTTTATATATCATGCATTTATCCTATTTCAACTTTATTTTTCATAATCAATCACATTTTATTCACGAGAAACCTTGACATTTATTGATATCTAATTTTTCTAATAATATAAGTTAGAATGAATGATCATAAAATATCTAGTTTTTTTTTTGTTAATTATTTTAGGGGCTGCACCACTATGGAATCCTACATCTGCCTCCTCCAAAACTTATATTGATCCACACACATATGAAGATCCAACAAAAGCTGTCAAAGATTTTGCACGAGAATTAGATCCAAATTTAATTGTAATTGAAGCTGTTATTGGTGGCGGTAAGTCTTATTACTCTACTTTTTTTGCCATTGATAATTAATTTTAACCAACTGTCCCACAGAGAATTTTGCTAAAATGTCACGTTCTCTTCCAAATAATTCATCTCCTATTTCATGTCATGAATGAATGACCGATTTTCTTTCATTTTTTTTCCAAATGTGAAGTGTCAAATGAATGGAGATGTAGATCATCATCGATCATAGAATAGATTAATTTTTTCATTTAAAAATATGGTAAATAATAGAGGCATCTACAATAATCTAAATAAAATTGAAATATATGAAATTTGGTTAATATTGATATTTTCTTATGTAACGAGAAATATTGTCTTCTTCCTGTCTTCTTCATTTCAGAAAACATTGATGAAATACATGTTTATGTTCACTCGTTGTAGATTACGTAAAAGAAAAAATGAATTGATAAGAAAATTCTCTGCGACACTTCGTATACATTTGTAGAGTCTTCTCATATTGCTTTCATTCTGTCATTAATCTTTGGTCATAATAGATATTCATAAAAAATCAATGTCGTTTTCTTTTTACTCAAATGATAGAAAGGAATATTATCATTCTTAGCCGTTAGATATATATATATATATGCGAATATGTAGCCAATATCTGTTTTATAACAATGAGATTTTGATAGTTAACAATAATAAACTGATGAACGTTGCTTCAAGTGACATATGTTCTATAAGATCATTTTTTTAGGCGAATTTGGTGATGTATGCCGTGGAAAATTGAGAAAAGTGAATGGACGTGATGTAACTGTAGCTATTAAAACATTAAAACAAGGCGCAACAGAAAAAACACGTCTTGATTTTCTTTCGGAAGCAAGTATTATGGGACAATTTGATGATGACAATGTTATTTATCTGGAAGGTGTCGTAACAAAACATCATCCAATAATGATTGTTACTGAGTATATGGAAAATGGATCACTTGATACATTTCTAAGAGTAAGTATTAAACCCAATTAATCTAACAGAGAATTACATCTTTAATTTCTACTATTTCAGTTAAATGAAGGCAAAGCTAAATTAGATGTTGTGCAATTAACACGAATGCTTCGCGGCATTGGTTCTGGTATGAAATATTTATCAGACATGAAATATGTTCATAGAGTAAGTCTGCTAGAGTGATCAATTAGTTTGATATATTAAACAGATATTGATTCTTTATTAATAGGATTTGGCCGCACGAAATATTCTTGTTAACAAAGATTTAATCTGTAAAGTTGCTGATTTTGGTTTGAGTAGAGAAGTAGATGGTGATACGTATACAACACGAGTAAGGAGATTTAATGGAAAAGTTTTTCTTAAATTGACCTATAATTTTTACATTTAAAAGGGAGGAAAAATACCTGTAAGATGGACGGCAATTGAAGCAATTGATTATAGAAAATTTACATCGAATTCTGATGTATGGAGTTATGGAGTGCTATGTTGGGAAATGATCTCGTTTGGTGAAAGACCATTTTGGAATTGGTCTAATCAGGATGTTATTAAAGCAATTAAAAAAGGATATCGATTACCACCACCGATGGTATGGAAAATTTAGATAGTGTAAGATAGATATACTACATAGTTACTATTTTTTCTCTAGGGTTGTCCCGATGCATTGTATAAATTGATGCTCGATTGTTGGAAAGATGATTATCTCGATCGTCCAAAATTTGAACAAATTGTTGGCATACTATCAAATCTAATTCAGACACCCAATAAACTTCTTTTACTTGCCAAACAAACGTAAGTTGATGTGATGAAGCTAGGATAGTACAAAAATTCTACAATGGGATATATTCTCTTTTTCAAGATTTGTGTTCATCATTAATCCCGATCAACCAAATTTTGCTCAAATAACATCTATCGATGAATGGCTTCATTCTCTACAGCTTGATCATTATATAAAACAATTTAAATCATATGGCTATATGAATTTATCTCAGATATGTCATTTTACACAACGAGATTTAATTGATATCGGTTTGACTATAAATTTTGATCAACATAAAATATTAGATACGTTGAAAAAAGTTCGATCGAATCTCGAGTTAACAGTAGGAAAAACGTCTGAAGGTTATCTCGTGTGATACACGATAATGATTTGTGTGTACCAATTAGGAGATATAACAGTAGTTTTTAGTCTGAATGACAGAAAGACATACTTGCTCAAAATATGAATGTTCTAGTCGATGAAAAAGCTTTTACGTCTGATATTTATTTTAAAGTATTGTGTCCAATTATTTAATTATCAATTTGGTCTATGCCGACCGAACCACGCACGCTGTTTTATACGCAATGAAATCCCTTTATCTAGTCATAATATATTCTCACTTCGACACAAAATAATATGTATTTCGTTTGATGAAAGACAATCGCTTCCTTCATCATTCCATTCTTTATTCAAAACGATAATATTCTTCCACAATGTCAAAAAATAAAATAAATGCACTATGCTCAGAGTAGAAATCGTACTATTTCATTTTTTGTACGAAATGGTGATTTTTGCACATATGAAACGTCTTGTTGTTGTTGTTGCTGTCGTTCTTATTTTGTATTTCGTCTATGTATATGTATTTTTTAGAAAAAAAAGTTTTGCTTTTTGTTTCAGTCTTATTCTAAATTAATATATAATTCGTGATACTACTTTTTTTGGACCATTTTCATTTGTTACTTTTTTTGTTGTTGTTTTGTATGAAATCAGAAGAAAACGAATGAATAAATTTTCTGAACTCTTGTCATGACAAATGTACAAACAGGAAAAGCTTTAGCAACTTTGTAGTGAGAGTATTATTCTGGTCATTTAAAAGAAGTACGCTCTTCTTCACTCACGAATAGTGACTCCTACAACACTCTCAAATCCTGTTAACATCCGATTGTCTACTATTGCCGATTACAGCGGAAGATAAGTATCATTCTTAGTGTTCTATAGACTTAGTTGAATTCAGAACTACTGTAAATATTCTGAGACAGAAAAGTGCGCTCTATCAGCCTTTTATAGTCAGTCATAGAGCATAATTATGATCGCTTATATTTTCATGTTGAATGTGATTCACTCTTACAGCGCCATTGAAGATCGACAAAACTAAGCACTCATACATCTTTAATACCAAAGGCGTTTCTGAGTATGGTCGTCGACTTGTGAGATATCGAAAAATTTTGTATGTTAAGAACTTTCAATGGATAAAATGGTGGATAAAAGAGATAATATTTTGTGATTTGTTGGGTACAATAGTTATGTTACTTTGAACATATCGAGTCGAAATAGATTTGGCTGGAGTTTTCTTGCAGACGAGTTGAAGAAAAGTCTTTTTTGTAGGTTACTTATAAGCATAAAGACATGACTAATTCGAAAATATCTCTGCTCAGGTCTTTCCCGTTACCGAGATAGGAGGCATTATCCGTAAAATAACTACCTTTTCTACCGGCTACATATAATCATACCATTATGAATAAAATACCATAAGTGGCTCGAGTACATAATTAAATAGAGACATGTTGGCAGGTGCGAGCTTACTTTTCATTGGTAGAAATCGTGAAAGAATCAGAAGTCCGACATGCTTAAAAATGGAAAATGTCCAAAATTTGGAAAATTTGCGCGCTCTCTTCACCCATGGAAGACGTTTTTATAAAATTACAACTGCCAGAGAATTTAAGTACAAAGTTACAGCTGCCTAAGTAATCAATTTCACCAAAAAACCTTGCCTTCGGAGCAATAAATAAGAGTCAGTTTTTAGGAAATAATGTCTCTTATCTCGGTAACGGAAAAGACCTGAGCAGAGATATTTTCGAATTAGTCATGTCCTTATGCTTATAAGTAACTGGCAAAAAAGATTTTTCTTCAACTCGTCTGTAAAAAAACTCCAGCCAAATCTATTTCGACTCCATATGCTCTCTCTCATTTGGCTATTTTGTACAAATTTATAAAGCTCGTTCTAAACGATAAATTTAGGTAAGTTTTCTCCCTTCTATATTTAGAGTTGCTCTTTTAGAATATCTAAACTCTTCGGTCGTACTTATGCCAAGAACATGATTATGATTATTTATTATGTTGAGATTTCCTTTTCGTCGTGACTAAAGCTATTCAGCGTCTACTAATAAAACCCTCAAACTTTTCTTTCTCTTTTTCTATTATTAAGAAGAAAGTTTATTAATTTTTCGCATTGCAGTTATTTCTTCATCTGATATAAGCCTTAAAGTCTTTCAAACATAACAATGAATACTCTTAATAATTTTACTTTTCCTTAAATACACAAATCACCGTTTTCACCTAAACTTTTAAGCATAGCATAGTCATCTTGTAGTTATCTATTCGTTTCTTGAGTTTTGGAAATTTATGGTATTTTACAATATCATATCCACATTGGCGTAGTTTGTTATTATACTTATTTTTTTCAAATATTTATATAGCGTATAAAGTGAAGTGTGAGAAATGTAATATAACATCATCTTTGTTTTGGTACTAATTTGAATGATTCCTTGTTTAAATAAAATAAATGCACATAGTCGAGCAATAATGGAAGTATTTTTTGTGATTCTATCGCTCAAAGTAATAGACATATGATTTTTATCCTCCCTCCACGTTCATGAACCTAATCTTGTTGAGAATGAGATAATCGTCATAATCTCTCTTCAATGTTGTGTGTAACCTAAGTAGTACTTCAAATATATATACTGTATCGTTTTTACACTTTTTCCTCGAAAAATTCTCTTTTGTTAATTGCCGACACACGATTATCATACATAAGAAGGAGAAAATATACAAAACAGATTACAATAGGTATAACAACAAATAAGATACCTCCTTTCTCATATGGCGTTCGCTCGATGTCATAAGTAACAAATGTCCCCCTTTGTTGTTTTCCTCTTCTCGCCGTGTTATATCCGCTTTGTTCTGTTTAAGTCAGATGTGGCCGGTGTCAACATAACATATATTTTGCAACAAGATTTCTAATAAATGCTTTATACACAAATTCTTTATATAAGAAAATTTTAAAGCTACACGTTCATAGACGCGCTTTATCAATTAATCCATACCAATACCATTACGAGCCCAAAACGAGATAGCTAATTGAATATAAATTTCTATAATCCTATCTACAAGTATCATGGATATGCATATTCTTGCCACATGTTTTCTAAGAGCGAGAGCAACCTCGGATCTATTGACTTGATGTAGACATTTTTTACAATGGTCTCATCCTCTTTATACTTACCACGTATTTCTGAAAATATAGATGAACATGATTTAGATCTTTATCAATAATACTCACCTGAACAACTTTTAGTGTAACACTGATTACTACCTCATCATATAAAAACAAGTATGATGAGGTAGTTATTGCAACACGTTGTAGTTCAATAGCTTCATAAGAACCCGAATTGACGTTTTACTCTTGGCTAGAACTGGCCTTAGTGATTCAAAATTTCTATTTGCTGTTCTAGTAGACTAATGAACCCTAACTATTCTGTTAAAAGTACTATCTATGACAATTCTGAATATGTATTTAAACCATTACTTATAAATGAAAACTTGTAACTAACACTGAAAGAAAATGTTCCAGGAAGATCTACAGTTCTTCCAATCGAAATCACATGAACTATAATTAATGTTTGACTATGAGTTTTGAACTTATATGCATTGGGTTTTGGTACAAAATTATTTACCAAATTTATAAAATCCAAAAGCGTCTATAAAAGTTAAACAAAAAGACGTTATCAATGAAAAAGTGAAATTTTATAACTCAAAGAGAAATCCGTCAACAGTGTTTCTTTTAATACACTATCTAGTAATTGTACATTTATGATTTTAGAACTGAATGAACCAGCGTCAAAAAAATAAATGATGATGACCGATTTCTTCGAAAATAAAAGATTAGTTCTAATATGAGAATTTCAATAGTTAGAACAAGACAAATGGTGTTTCGGTTTAAAATCTAGTCACTGAATATTGTTGTTGTACTTCCGTAAGTATTGTACTAAAAAACATATTAAATATCAATTTGAGATAACAGATATCACTTAACACATGTAGTTTTATTGGTTGATAATAAAATATTGTTGTACTCATACATTCTACTTATAACATTTTATCTGAAAAATTATTTTCAGCTCATTATTTCAGCATGAGAACTAATCGGTAACACGCCAAGAATACTGATATATCTGTCGATTTTTCTCCAGTTCTAATTTTTTTAAGGCATATTTTTACCATTATTACATGAACTTGTTTTTTTTATCGCTAAGTATTTAGTGAAGCTTTATGTTGATCATGCCACTTCTTAAGTATTATTTTATATTTCATTGCACAAACAATATTTTTTTTCTCTACTAATATAGAAGCAATTGTGAATAATATCTATCGATAAACAAAAGAAGAATAAAAAAGGAAACGAATAAATACAAATACACAACACACGAAAAAAGCAACAGTGATAGAGTATGACTGCGAACACAAAATTTTTTTAGAGAAATTCTCATTTCATTTTTGTTTTAATCTATCAGCACATAAAGCCATGAGAGATTATATAAGCAAAAGTCTTCAACGAAAAGAAAAAAGGGAGATCGTACTGATTTCAACTACGAACAAATCTTTTTATAAACATATCATCAAGGATAGTTTAAAATGCTTAATGCGCAGACAATTGAGTTGATGTTTGTAGCCAGGGCGTTGATGGTGACGTGCTTGAATAATGATGAACAGGCTGCTGATTAAATAACCATCTAGTAAAATCATCATAATCGTAGGCTTGATTAATTTCACGACCAGTACGATCGCGATATGGTTTCATTTTACGGCAGCAAAATTCAGCTTGTTCAGGTGAAAGATTCTAGAACAAGAATGAAAACAATTAAAATAGTAATTATATAATGCCCAATTGTCATACCGCATAAAGTTCATCTCGTGTTATATACGGTCTTTCAGAATTTTCTGTTAAACTTTTGAATGCTGTGACAATATCGTCTGTTGATGATACATTTTCTGTTTCACGACTAATCATAAATGACATGTATTCTGATAATCCAACATAGTTAATTCTTCAAAAAAAAAGAAAAAAAAAGAAGCAGTAAAGCATTTTAATTTAGAAAA